ATTAAAAGAATTTCCTTTTAACGAGCGGACAAATTTTTTGACAAGGTAATCTCCATAAGTACCAGCATTGTTGCACGTCTCAACGAAGTGCGCCACGTGTTGCTGTGGATTACCTTTTCCATCAAACTGTTGAAACTTTGGAGGTTGATAACCAGCAAGCATCTTCAAAATATCGACCCTTGAAGTGTACGGCTTTGCATATGTAAGGGAGGACTTGGGAGCAACTTCATACTTGTTCTTAACGGTACCTTCAATGAACTCCTTCAGTTGATCGATTAGAATCATCCCTTCAGATGAGACAGGGATAGCCTTAGCGGATGCTACTTGTCTTGGGGGAGAATCACTCTCTGGAACTTCTGGGAGCTTGCCAGGTGCGAGGGTAGATTCTTCTTCCATCAAGATTCCCACCCTATCTGTTAGCTTGTCGATTCTAGCATCTTGATTTTTCATGCACTTCGTCAAACCATCGATTGCTTCCGTCAAGTTTGCCAACTGCTCCTCCACAGATGAAGTGTTTGTCACCATGGCTTGCATGATTGTTGTGGATGATGGAGAGTATCATGGATTGTCACACAGATTGATCCTCGATTGGCTCACGCTATGTGGTGTAAGTGGGGAGGATCCATCACTTGAAGCATCATCACTTTCCTTCACTGCAGAGTGCTTGGATTCGGAGAGGTCAAGCAGAGCAAGAGTTTTATTGATCTTTTCAGCAACATCACTTCCTCCTTCTGTTACGTTTGTGGAAGATCTTGCTCCTTTTGAGGATGAAGATCCGAAAACAGGGGTTGATGAGGACGGCAAGTGGGGTGCTTGTTGTCCTAACGAGCTTGCTTTACTCATCGTAACTGGTCCAAAGCTTCCAAAAGTAACATCGAGGATGCTTTCCACATCAGCATAGAACCTGAAATTAGCAGCCTTGGTGGAAATTGAACTCGAGTTGATTTTCTTTGAATCCATTTCAATGTTCTTGAACTTTTGTGATTGAAAAGTTGAGATGAGAGGTAGAGATTGTCCCAGTGGGCATGCCAAAATTTGTAGACAATAAATTATATGTGATACACAAATAAATTGCAACCACAATATAAGTATGAAGAAACATAATTTTATTGATAAAATAATGCGGGTACAATTCTATTTGTTCCCTTAATTCTTCCTCCAAATTGTTCTCCGTGATTCGAGGCTTGGATCAGCGTATTCTCGAACGTAGGTTGATGCGAACCTCTCTGGATTATTTAATCTCCATGAAAGTCGATCATTGTATGGATATTCTTCTTGAAGTACTTGATTCTCAAGAAGAACATCTATTGATCACGATATTATTTTATGCCTTGATCCCTTTGTAAATATCCCGAGATTTATGGGATTTTTTTTAGACGCCTCTTCAAGGGAATATGCATCCCTTTATATAGTTGTGCGTTAGGGTTTAGGGTAGAGTAACCTCCCAAGAAACCCTGATAGACTCCTAGGATATCAAGAGTCTTGTAGTATCTTGAATTTAAGATTTAACTTGATCCTTTAAAATGATGTTTACAAACTGCTTTGACTAAAAAATGAGTTATTAGCAGCCACTCACGGATATTGACAAAATAGCCAATGATAATTAATTTAAAACTTTCTCCTTTTTCCTTTTTTTCTTTCTTGGTGACATTTGTTTAACTAGTCTTAGGGTACCCTATATCAGTGAGCATAAAATTTTAAAATTACATAAATATTATTTTAGTAAAAATTTATACTATCGAAATACAGAATCTTACCATTTTTTATTTAAAAAAAAGATGTATAGACCATTTATTTATGTCAGGAGGACATAGAGTGAAAGGATAACATAACTGCAAAATTTTTTGAATGAGAATCATGTTCAAAGCATCACTTATTTTATAATAAAAATACTTTAGGTTAATACAAAAATAAAGGTAATACGCAAATGATGCATAGTTTGAAAATATAATTTTCATTACTAATATATGAAATTTTTTTTGTCACATCTTCCTGAGTTGTGACGATCTAGTTCAATAGCTTTTCTTGTACTGTAAGGCAATTAAAATATCCTTACTATTTTGAAATAATCAGTTGGTACTATCAGATAATATCATAAAATTATTGTGCTCGGATTAAGCACCTGATATAGATCCACAAGAAGGAACAATTGAATAGTGTCCTAAGGCACAATAGCGAGTTGTTCGTATTCACTATCTTGTGAAGAGGACAACAGAAACCAAACAAAAATTAAAATGATATTCAATTCTTGATTTTGTGTTATTCCCAATGGTTATCTTTTGAATATATATAGGAAGATGGTTCATGGAATATATTTATACAAATTAAGTAAATGTAAAAACTTCAAGGCACTCCTATCTAAATTAAGACTTTTAATTTAAAGAGTTAGAATTCATAACAAGTTTATATAGGTGTAAAAAAAAAATCATGTTGCTGGAATGTAAAACTATATGTGAACGAACACAAGTTTCTTTTGAATAAAAATATTAATGATTTCAAATTCTTAATTATTAGTTATATTATATAGTTTAAATAAGGAAAGATTTATATGAGATAAAATCTTTTAAAGTCCTGAATATTAATATACATAACTACATAACTCAAATAAGGAAAAATTTAATAACCAAAATTTTAGTAGATTTCAAGGTACTAAATAGTAGGAAACTAATTAAATTACAACTTTATCCAATATAAAAATTATTTTTAAAGGATTAAAAAGGTGAACCATATTTCTCTAAGGGGCTTCGTGCTTTTAATATAGTGTATATACTTGTCTTAGGGTACGCGCGATGCGCGTGAACCTTGTCTCGATGAGTATAAATTTATTTAAAAAATAGTATTAAATTATAAAATAAAAGTGTAAGTTCCTAAAGATAATCATGAATATTGATTGTGTATAACTAACGCAATAATTAAAAAAACTATCTTATAAGTCCTCAACATCAATAATTCAACTTAAAATTTGTTCCAAGTTTATAATTTCAAGAACCTTGGACATCAAAATAATCTTGAAGGATACAACTTACAACATATAACCAGGTAACTAATAAACTACGAACTTTAAATAAACATAAAATCAAAGTGCAATAATAAACAAAAAAGACATTAAGAGAAAAAAAAAGAAAAAAAAAGAAAAAAAAAGAAAGCTAATAAGAGAATTTACAATTGAAAACTAGCTAATAAACTCACTCATATTTAGCTAATCAAATGTATCATAGATTAAAAATTAAAGAATCTCATAAAATATCTTGTTAATTTTGTGGCTTTTAGTGATTTTTGCTCAACATTGCTCATAATTATAATAGTATATTTAAAACTTTTGAAAGTTAAAAGTATAATATTGAATAATATTGTTAGTACAATAGTCCTGTACTGTATATTTTTAAAAAGTGAACTGTCTACGCTATTGTCCAAGAACACATACCTGTTCTTTCTTAAATCTTTTTATTTTCCCTTTATTTTATTTTTTCCATCATTTTTATATAGTTTACGTGTAAGACTTATAAAAAGCTTGAAACGAAAAGAAAAAACAAATTTTAACTTTCTCCACGGTTCAAATAAGAAACAAATTAATAAGTAAATTTTACTTAATTTTAAGCTCTAAAATTTTAAAAAATTAATTAAAAAACTATTAAATGAAGTGTTTCTTATAGTATTTAACATAAAATTGAGGGACTTCAGAATATTTTTTTTGTGTGATAAAGATCAAGTTTGAAATGAAAAGAAAAGGCATTAGTTTTAAATTTTAGTCCTTTATTGTACGTAATTATTTCATAAATAGTATTCAATTGAGTGTAAGAAACTCACGTTTTCTTATTAATTAATATGTTATGATGGCCAAAGGCTAAAAATTAGGACTTTAAGCAAATATTTAACCAAAATTTTAGGTGATTTAAATACTCTAAATATTAGGAAAGTAACTTAAATTACAATTATGTCTAATGTGAAATTTATCTTTAGTGGGTAAAAAAAGCGAACGATATTTTGCTAAATGTCTTCGTGCTTTTAATATAGTATACAGATATAGATTGTTTTGTTAGGTTGAGAGAAACACTAAAAGTTATTAGAATATTTCATAAGCAACCTGAGAGATAAGAAACTTAAATTGCTTTTGTGATTCTGTCAAATTAACCAATCTTCCTTGTGTTTACGACTTTTTTCAGCAAATAAATCTATTTGTTTGGCTTCCTCTAAATGTACTTAAAGATAACCTTGTTCACTTGTAGCACGTATTTGAGATTGGGAATGATTTTGTACAATTTTCCTATGATAAATTTAATAATAAGAAGACAATCAATATCGCCGTTCGCAACTTAAAATCTCCGGTTAAAAGTGAAAATGTTATATTTATTCCACTACAATGCTTGATACAATTGAAGGGTATCCATGTGCAAGGCAACATATATTATTGAGAATCATGACATTATTCTTTGTTAGGTGACCAAATAAATTGCAACTGGAAATTTGGCATAGACAGTTATCAGTCCATGAATAGAACACTAAAGGAGGAGGATTCATGATGAGGGACATATTCAACGAACAAGTTGTCGGCTTAGACCATGAACATGTGATAAAAGATCCGCTAAATATCTACAAATAATAAATTTTGAACCCAATAAATTAAATAGAGGCGATAGAATTACGAATCCTAACCCATAAACTTCAAATCGTCGGCCCACCTCTATTCACGATACATAGCTATAACCTATAAGCACTGATCAAATCAAGGAGGATGTGGACCTGCAATGTCTTTTAAAGTCAAACTTGCTACACTGGTACTGCAAGCTGAATTGTACTTTTCGTACTGGCTGTTGCCCTATATTTCTATGATGATCACTCTGTTTGAAGGGTTCTCCAATCGTTTTTATCAAAGAATAATCTTCGTCTCAACACGAGTTTAATTTATATACACTAATATTACTAGTACAAAAGAATTTTTATGCTATCAGATCATCTAAAAGAAGTACATGTAACAGTCAATATAAATAAGATTAGCAACCTGATACAACAAAGTTAAACCATAAAGTTAAACTACACTAGTCGTGTATATGGTACATAAGTTAAAGAGTTAATATCCTAAAATCACCTTAAACTATTATGTTTTTGTCAATTTTCTACTTAAATTATCCGGTGTACCTAAAATCCCCTTGAACTATATCCCCTAGCTACTAAAAACTCCTTCGTCGATGAATAGGGAAGCTGCAAATGAAGAGTTTGCTCATTGAACGTACAAAAGCTCTAATCCTCTATAACACAAATAGATTACTCACTAGGACTAGGATAATTACAAACATAGTCTAAACCAAAAATTCCACAAAAAATTTGCTAACATCTACCTTCAGTTTACTGAGTGATCTAAGGACTAGGAACTCTATTTGTTATTTATTACACAAACAAATCAGCAAGAGTTCCTTCAGGGACATCAGATGGGTAGCTCGACCCACAAGGCATTCCGCGTTCACGCAGGATCCGGAGAAGGGCGACACCCAAGAGGTGTGATATAGAGAGCCTAACCTAATGCAAGCATTAGTGGTTGTTTCCACGGCTCGGACGCGTGAACTATAGGTCACACAGAGAGAACCTTACCGTTGCTCCAACGCTCCCCTTCAAACTGGAAAAGTTCAACAACAGACATATAGAAATGTCAAAGGAAAGAGTGAACCAACTCAGCTTCCTGTTGCTGGACTGAGAAGCCCCATACGTTCAGCAAGATTTTCTACATTAAATCCGCGACTCCACCAATATCTCTGGTTTTCTTCTGCTAACATGGTATCACACGTCAAGCCATTGGTGTCTTTACTTACGATCTCAACTTCCTGCGGCTCAGATAAACCAGGAGTCTCAGTTAAGAATTGTTGCCAAAATACATCATTACCCGAGTTTGACACTGATTTAGACATGTCAGTGCTACCCTCAACCTGATTTTTCGTCGCATCAATACTTGCATTACTCTGATCTGATGGCTTAAGTTGACATTCGAGATTGATATAAATCGATGATATGACTGGACTCAAAGGTCCTTCTAACTCGGGGGACGATTGTATATCCCTTGAAGGCGACGATGAATGATCGATAGGAGAGTTTCTTTTGCCAGAATCATCAGACGAAGTATCCATTTCGCGTATGACAATTGGTGAAGGTAAAACTTGTGTATGCTCAAAATCATGCATTTGATCTTTGGTTGGAGTACTGTTCCGAATTCCATATAGAAAACGTTCCCAAAAATTGATGGAAGAATCCAACTTTTTAACTATGTCCATGTCTAACTTCGGAACAACTATAGAGTTAGTTGCATTCTCTTCCTCAATTAAGCAATTTGATACTAACAACCGTCTTTTCTTGCTGTTATTGTTTGTGTATTGGATCAAATCGGACGAAAATTCAGGCCTTTGTAATAGTTGAGCCAAAAGGGATATCAATTTCCCCTGCCTATGAACAATATTCTGCAAACGTTGTTCCATAGACTTAACACCAAACTCATATTCTTGATTAAATTTCTCATGCTTTTCAGCAGATGACTGAAGTAAGCTATTTTCCCTTTTCAGCCTCTCGATTTCTTCTTCATATTCTTGTCTTTCTGAATCAGTCAATGGCGCCACAGATTGTGATCCTGTTGTAGAGTGGCTATGAATCGGCTTTCGTCTATAAATATTCTTCAATAAATGTCTCTGTCCTCTTAAAAACTCCTCATTTGCAAATTCCCATTGTTCAGGATCAACCTTTCTGAACCCCTATAGAATAATAAATAAATAAAACTTTGTTAAACAAAAAGTATTTAAAACTGAAAAAGAAAGGAGAATGCTTGCTGCCATGTGACTATGAGGTCACGGGTTCGAGCTATAAAAACTGCCTCTTACAGAAATGCAGCGTACATTAGACCTTTGTGGTCCGGCCCGTCCCCAGACCCCGCGTATAACATGAGCTTAGTGCACCGGACTGCCATTTTATTTAAGACCGAAAAGAGCTTAAAAATAAACTCACAAGGATGATACACTTACATAAGTGTTAAGTTGTCTGATAAAGCTGGAGAAATTATTGTGTTTAAAGTATTTAGGAAGCAAATCTCTGGCAAACTCAGGTGGATTCCAAACAACGAAGCTACGGCCATTGTGATTCCAAGAAACGACTGGATTTGTGTAAGGATCATCTACTAATTCATAAGTCTTTGATAAGAAAGGAGCTGGAGCTGGAGCTGGAGCTGAACTTGAACCGCCGTTACAATTTTCCATCATTATACCAACCATATAAACATATACCAATTAAAATTAAGAAGACCCTCAATTTAACGAACTTTTTTTGGTTTCTTATTTTCACGTCAAAGAGGAAGAGATGAACGCAACCAAGACTTAATAAGTGTATGTGAACGGCGAAGATTAAAAGAAAGAAATCCAGGTTTGAATGGGAAAGGGCAAGAAAATTGTAAGAAATGAGATCATAAAGATAACTGGTTTAGAAGAAACTAAAAAGAGAAGTGTGTATAAAAAGGGGAAGGACTAAGGTGAAAAGAAAATACTATTATGTTTTTTCATAATTCAGATTGACTGGGAGAGGGAAGACTTGACTTTGAAATTGGATTGGAACAAGTGGTGGAGAGAAATTGGGCCCCCATTTATTTTAGATTATATATTTGTATGAATTTCTATTAACATTTTAAAATGTATTTTTTGTCATATTAATATGGTAAAAATTGTAATTTGTAGCACTTTTCCTACAATTTTTGAATATCTAGTTTTCTAATTTAGATTTAAATTTTAGTTAAATTGGCTTTTACTAAACAAAATATGTCATCTAAATTAAAAGATGGAGTATAACTTTTTGCATGTAATATTCAACGGTCCTTTTTGTTCATTTGTCGTTTGACTATTTTGCTTCGCTTTCAGCGTTCCAACTTTGAAGATATATAGAGAGAGGGAGGGAGCACGAGAGTAGAATTCTGTAGTCAGAGGTATCATGATTTATGACTTTTTATTTGTTTAATTAGGAGAGGCTGCTACTACTTTGACCGGGTGCTCTGTATTTTCCTTTTTTACAATATTAAAGTGTGTACTACTACTACCGCACTTCTGACACTGCAGATATTTTGAGTCTAATTTATTCCCATTTTTTAGTTTACTTGCTTTGTTCTTTATAACCATTTTTTTTACTTTCAATTGGTTGGTTTATTCAAATTTTGTATACTACCATTCGAGTTATATTAGGAGGAGGAGAATGGCAAATGTTTAAAGTTGGAGGGAGAGTTTGATAAGTAAAGTTGAGGAATATAAATTATTTTCACCATTTTATTAAGTTTTGGTTTCTGGCATATGAAGGATTCAAATCTTCATTCCCTGACTCTCAAAATGGCAGATCAAATCGAGTTCTTTTTAAATACTAATATCCATCCGAATTTATTTATTTTTTCTAAAGAAAGGTAAACTATAAATGAAGTCAAAATATTTATTTTCGGTCAGAAAGAATTACAAAGAGAATTATAGCACAATATTTAACCTCTATTTCAATGAATTACAAGGAGATTATAAACAATCAATTAATAAAATAACCAGGAGTATAAAAAACCTCGACCCTATCCGCATATAAAGGGAAAGAGATTAAGTACATAATATTTAAGATTGAGTTCAACTACTGTTCAAGTTACTTAAAATTTTGACAAATCAACCTTATATATTGCTTTGAGAAACCTTGCGTATAGCTTTTAAAATTTTGCAATCTTTCATTATACAATAAGGGGAAAAAATAGAGAAAAAAAAACAACAAGAAAAAGACGAAAAAGAATTAACATCGATTGATGACTAGTGCATACAAGTTAAGGATGTTAATTTTTTTAATTATGAAATTATAGTGTGCGGAGAGCACGTTAGTAGATTCTCATCATAGTACAACCTAGGACTCTATTTTCTCCTTGTGCATTAATTCAAAGTAAATTCAAAGTTTTCTTCTTTCTGTATCATTTTCTTGTTTTTATTTTTTAATTGCATTAGTTGAGCCGACAACGTCGTCTTTTGATCTTCCCATTTAATAGTAGACTAACCAAACGAAATTACTTAAAATACTTTAAAATCCAATCAAATTCTCCATAAAATTCAAGTTACAGACCAGTATCAGTGAAAGTGAAAAACAACGAACTATTTTATGTTAAATAACATCATGTGAAGCGTAATAGAAAATTAGGGTCAGCATGTGATTTTTCTTGGTCATTACTCCTTTTCGCATCTAATACTAATTAAGATTTTTGTCTTATTTATTTACTTAATAACTTCTTATGAAGCTCGATCATTGCATAGTAAGATGACCAGAAAATTATTATTACTATAGCAGCAGAGTAATAGATGTAATAGAGTATATTTTGTTAACTTCCATGAATTCCAGCTCTGAAATCTAGAATCTTCGATGAACAAAGAGAATGAAGAAGGACATGAATGAAGGAACAGATAATTGGACTGCAAATTTTGGAAATGAAAGCACGTGTATTATTATTCCATTAAGTTATATATTTATACAGTTATGTACTCTAATGTACAACTAATATCCAGCTGTCATGTAATTGACTAACCACTAATAATAATTAACTAACTCATTTACCTGTCTACTGGCACTAGTTAACTAACCATTACAATCATCGAACCTCAAGTTACACCGGTCTCAACACTCCCCCTTAAACTGGTAGGTGCAAAAATATTGAGCACTTTTAGTTTGGATACCAAATATTCATGCTGCGACCTCAGAAGTGCGTTAGTCAATATATTTGCTTGCTGCTCTTTGGAACTAACATGTTGTGTTCTTACTAAGCCTTGTTGGATTTTCTCCCTCACAAAGTGACAATCAATCTCTATATGCTTTGTCCTCTCATAATACACTGGATTTGCCGCAATTTCTTCTGTTGCCTTGTTATCACAGAATAAGTTAGCAGGCTCCCTCACATTTGCTCCTAACTCCTTAAACATTCCAGTTAACCAAACTAATTCTGCAACTGTCTATGACATGCTCATGTATTCTTCTTCTGCTGAGCTTCTTGATATTGTGTTTTATTTTTTTGATTTCCAGGATATGAGAGAATTTTCATATTTCACAAGGAAGCCAGTCACTGATTTTCTTGTGTTGGGACATGATGCACAATCAACATCACAGTATGCAGTCAACATACTGTTCTTCTCACTTCTCATTAGAATTCCAAGTCCTGGTTCCCTTTTGATGTATCTCACAACTCTTAGGGCTGCCTCCCATTGACTTCTTTTAGGCTCCTGCATAAACTGGCTTAATTTGTACAACAAATGCTATGTCTAATCTGGTTAGTGTTATAGTTTCCCAATGAGCCTTTGGTATTGTCCTTTGTCTTCTAGCAAATCGTCATCATTTACTACTGTAATGTCATCTAATTCCTTGTTGGTAAACTGTTGATTGTATTCAAGTGGAGTCCAAGGTGGCGTTGCATCACTTAGTCTAATTCTCCAATTAGCTCTAAGACATATTTTCTCTAGTTCATCAAAATGCCCTTTATTGACCTGCTGAATTCAATTCCCAGAAAATATTTTAACTCTCCAAGATCCTCCATTTGAATGTTTGGTTCAGTTTCTCTTTTGTAACCTCTATCAGATTCAGATTATTTTCAGTAATCAACATATCATCCACATATACTAAGATAACAAATATATTATTATTATGTTTCTATGTAAACAAAGAATAGTCCAAACTACTCTGAGTGAAGCCCTGAGCTAATACTCAGTTAATTTGATATTCCATTGTCTGCTTACTTGCTTCAATCCATAGAGGGATTTGACAAGCCTACAAACAAGGTGTGATCTCTCCCCTGTCTTGCAAAGCTCTCATGCAAGTGCATGTAAACCTCATCAGGAACATCCCCTTGCAAAAAAGCAATGTGCACATCCATTTGATGGATGTGATAGCCTTTAGTTGCAGCAAAAGAAACCATTGATCTGATAGTAGCTATCTTCACAACTGGAGATAATGTTTCAGTGTAATCGAGCCTTTCTTTCTGATTGTAGCCTTTGGATACTAGCCTTGCTTTATATCTCTCTACATCTCCATTAGCCTTGTACTGCCCGGGGGTGAGCCTGTCTGGCGGGAAAATTTGGAGAGCGTCGAATTAGATAGCTTGTTTGGATTTTTTGAGGCTTATATAGAGTGCCCGTCTGAGGAGGAGTGGGACTGTGAAAGCTGCAGCAAAGGGAAAGGACTTTCACCAGTTTCTTGAGTGAGAAGGAAGAGGACAGGGTCTTACTTACTTAAAAGTAAAAAAAAAGGGAAGTTTCCTGTCTTAGACTTCACTTTAAAAACTCATTTACAACCAATAGAAGTCTTTCCTACTGGTAAAGGAACCAATTCCCTAAGTCCTATTTTCTTCTAATGCTGAGATTTCAACCTTCATAGCTTCCTCCCATCTAGGATATTATGAAGCTTCCTTAAAGGTTATAGGCTCTACTATAGAAGTAAGAGTTGTTAAAAAGTGTCTGTATTTGAGACTGAGACTGGAATAGTTAACTGAGTGTTGAATAAGGTATATTCGTTGTGAGGCACAATTAGTGGTTGGTGCAATGAAGTCCTTCATCCACCTAGGAGTTTTCTTTGTTTTGACTGATTTCCTTAGTGTTGTTGAATCATCTGATGGCATTGCATTGTGGATCACATCATCATCCTGTTGATCATGATCAGACAGAGTTATATCACCCATAGGAGGTTCTGCATTAGGAATGTCTGTTGTATTAGCTGGTAATTCTGGTGTACTAGCTGGTAGATCTGCTACATCTGTATCAATTTGATGATCAATACCTATATCATTTGTGAAACTTGCTACTTCTTCATGGTCTGAAGAAGGATCATATGGTAAAGGATCTATACCAATTTAGAAAACAATAGTGGTTATTTCTCATTACTGTGTTTGAAAGGAAACAAAGTCTCTCTGAAACTAACATCTCTATTCACAAAGAATGTTTGAGCAGTTAGATCATACGGAATATATTCTTTGGTCAAGTCTGAATATCCCATCATGACAGACGCAATTGCCCTGGTAGCGAATTTTTCATGGTTATTCAACCTTTTGGCAAAGCATCCCCATTACTTTCAGATGTTTTAAGCCAGGCTTCCTCTTATAGAAGACCTCATAAGGAGATTTTCCTTGTAATGCCACGGGCGGCATTCTATTAATCAAATAGATTGCTACCAGCACACAATGTCTCCAAAACTTTAGAGGAATTCCACTTTAAAATCTAATTGCTCTAGTTATTTTTAAGATGTGTTTGTGTTTTCTTTCAGTCATCCTATTTTGTTGTATGGTGTGCATACATGTCCTCTGATGTAAAATCCACAGAGATTGAAAAAGTTGGGAACAACTTGTGTTAACAAATTCCCCTCCATTATGTGACCTCAACAGCTTAACAGATTTCCCTAACTGAGTCTGCACCATCCTGAAGAAATTTCTTAATACCACAATTACATCACTTTTAAATTTC